TGAGGTTGCGTAAGTCTAGATTCTTCTTGCCTACATTGTGCTATCGTAGATTTTTTAAAGTTAAAATCGCTGTGTACATGATTCTGTCAAATATTTTTGGTTAGAAACTTTACGTTTTGCTATCTAAATTTTTTGTTTTGGATTTTTAGCTAAATGTATGTTGAAAAAGTTTTTGCATGTCGAGAATCGCATTTTTGGAGACATTTTAGGCTAAAGTTCGAAATGTAGACAAAAAATTTAGATAGTTATGGCGCATAAGTTTCTCGCCAAAAATATTTAATTTTAATATAATAAAAATATTGTCTTAAATTCCAGTTAACATAGAAAACAATATTTCCTTCACACCAGCAGTGGTTTTGCTAATTTTGATGACATAGTGATGCATCAAACTATCTGTCATCTTAGATAATCAATATTTTTTTATTTCAATTTAATCATCTATTAATGTCACACCTGCCATCCTCTGAAAGGTTATTGTTAGAAAAGCATTAACAATATATTATCTTGTTAAAATTCTACGCCACAAAAATTGATTTATTCTCAAAATTTTAGATGACAATAACCAATAATAAAAATAAAAGCATTATTGTTTAATATTTTAAACGCACATGCACATTTTTACGGTCTACGAAAACAAATTTTAGACGTTGAAAACCTCATGGTTCTTAGAGCTGTTAATAATTAAGAACACAACGTGAACAGCCTTGTTACAAATTAGCATTCACCCCTCCTTTCATCCCGAACCGAGAACCGGCATCTATCTATGAAAATATTTCTATCTATTCGTTGTTAAAAAATTCAGAAAAAATAATAATAAATAAGAGAAGTATAAATCTGCAAATGCGAAAAACGACAGTGATAATTCAACAAAATAAACGCAAGAAGAATGGTTGCAAACTTCGAACTAGCGAATAGGACAAATCGCTTGGGTTACCAGGCTTGAACTATTATCGCCAAAGTTGCGATGTTTACATTTACCGGGTTCTCTGCGGAAGTGCTTCCAAATTTTGAAATATAAATTAAAGATCTACTATTTGTCTAGTAGATATACTCTATGAACTAACCACACAAAAGAATGCGGTTGATCTTTACATTATGGTAACTTGGCGTTTTTTTTTGGCGAAAATTTGGCGACCAACTCTCCTACAGCAACCCTCTATTTTTTTTTCCCGCCGCCATTTTGTCTTCACAAAGTAAAGATATGTTTCTTTTCTTTTTATCTACTGAACACTTCTTCCAACAATCTACTAGAGCCGAATTACACTTATGCTAGAATTTTATCTAACAAAACTGCTTTATCATGACAAACATTCACTGCAAAATTGGGAAAAAGTGCACAATACCATACTCCTTACACGCGTTTTTCAAAATAACACATACACATAAACCATGTACACACACGCGACTTATTTTTTACTTAAAAAAACATCCCAGAATTGCACAAAAATGGCATTGCGCACACTCTTCACTATATCCATATACACTGGCTTTTTTCTCATAAATTAGAAAAATTTCACGAATATACATGACAATTTTCTCAATCTTTAAACCCGGTAAAAAGAACATATATGAAATTACCTGATCGTGAAAAATATTTACCCTTTCCAAATATGAACATTTCCATATATAAATAAATAAAATATCCAAAAACTTTTACCTCTAAAATCATCTATTACATTATAAACGTCACCAATGAATTCATACCGCAAGCATGACAAATACTTAGTATCAAATATTTAAATTATTTCCATGCACGGGGACTTCAACTTAAATATACCAAATTCCTACAAACATAATTCCAAATACTATCATTTATTAAAATATAATTAAATTCAAACCACTTAAAATATAATGAGCACATACATTAAATAATAAAAATTACTACAATCAATTACTTTAAACTAAATCATTGCTAATAACAATTTCCCAATAATACCAAATTCCTTTACTTCCCCTTACTTTAGAACATGCATAAAATAATATCCTCAAATATTAAAATACTAACTACCCTCTCTTCTTCAAAATCTTGATTCGTGTCCGATAAACTTTTCTTTTTACGGCCATGGATCCAAAATTCACGAAGTCCCAGTATACCTTTATCGCCTCCAAAATGTCGCCAAACTACCAGTTCCATTTGTAAAGATCACCAGATGCATACGGCATTTAATGGGTAATTCATCCGCAGAGAACCCGTGCACGTCGGGAAAGAACCCATTGGCGCCTTGCTTTTTACATTGCCAGCCACCGTCATCGACGATGAGCCGACGTAAACGTGATATTTTGTAAACGCGATTTTTATGCATTAATTCAAATTACGACAAAATATATTAGCATATGGTATAAAATTCCAGATAATAAGCAGTAGATGTAAAACTAACCGTAAACCGTGAATACGAAAAAAATTTATTAAATCAAGTTCGCACAGAAAAAATAATAGCATAAGACATATAAGGATTATAACGAATAAAATTTTTAAAATATAAATTAGTTTATATACTGAAAGCCGTTAAGCGGATAACGAAAAAATTTGTCTTAAATTTCAGTTAACACAGAAAACAATATTTCCTTACACCAGCATGGTTTGCTAATTTTATGACAGGTGAGCATCGAACTATTCTAACATCTTAGATAATCAATATTTCTAGGAACGCTTTAGTATGGTCCTTTGGTGATTTTTTATTGGCGACAAACTTCGTAGCCAAGGAGGGCCCGCTTGAAAATCGGAAAAAATGGCGTATTTCTATACTGTATATAAATTTCTGAACACTACCGTAAATGAATTATGCATGATTATGTTATGATAATGAATTTACAAAGGTAATATTTTAAATTTCAATATAATTTAATTATTAAATATTAATTTTAGTAATTATTATTTATATTATTAGTATTTAGCTAAATTTTAAATTTACAAAAGGTTAAATTTATGTTTTGAATAATTAATTTACAAAAGGTTAATAATGCATTTCAACTAGTAGTATATGTTCTTTAGTTCTTAGATTCTTAGTAAAGAAATTTAAAAAAATATTCAAGTGAGGAAATCAATTAATTATAAACGAGTAAATTTTTCCAGTGTTTAGAAATACTTTTGATTAAATTTTGTAAAGGTAAAAATATAAGTGTGTATTTTTATCACTCAATTGGTTACATAATTTATCATTATATTAAAAGCAAAATTAATTATCTGAGTAAATTTTGTACCAATGGTAATTGTACACAACAACAATCATCATAACTGATGATTTGGAGTGATAAGCCACTGAACAGTGGTAGTTCAGGCTCCTATATGGAGTTTTTGTGGTTTTCCTTACATGCAATGTGAATCTGAGCCGGTTTCTCTTAAAATGTCCTTCTGCTGGCCAGCATATATATTTATTTTCTATTCATAAATACTCTTCTTATTTCTAAATCTTACTTAGGTGTTGCATCTATAGATCGAAAAATATGATCAATATGTATGCAAAATCCTGTTCAGTTTCGGAAAATATTAAATTAAATAATTTGTATATGATGCAAACATTTAAATAAAATAAATAATATGTATATGATGCAAACAAAAATGCATTACAGTATTTCTTGTAGTGAATAATTAATCAGGAAACAAAGTATAATGCAACATTCTTTTATTTTGTAATCATAGTTTTTTTATGTTTGGGATCATTACTGTCATTTTCCCCATTCGTTTTCCTACCAAAATCCAAATGAAGTTTTTAGTTTGTAAAACAACCGTGATTGGCCTTTAGAGTCATGTTACTAGTTGCAATAAATAATTGTAGTCTCAGTCCTGCATTCTAATTGCTGATAGATGATTCCAAGTCGGTTAAGTTTTAACCACTTTGATTAAATTGATTTGTGTTCGTTTGGCTACAAATTTATTTGAATTTAATTTACATTTGAACTTAGTTATCATAAGTTATCTTGCCACAGTGTTGCCTGAGTTGTAACACAAGTGCCTTCTGTTCATACATTTAAATTTTTTTATAGAATAAAATATTCTTACTATAAAAATATTCTAAACTTTAAATAATTATGTTAAAGACATGAAATCGTTCTGAGTGCTGCCATGTGTCAATTATTATATATAATTTACTCTTCTTTAAAATAGAATTTTTATTACAAAAAATCAGATCTCTGTAATTAATGTTTAGTAATTAGAAATTTGCATAAATTTAAATAAAAGTCGACTGTTAGTCAATACTATTATAAATAATAATACTCATGAAGGTTGTTCATATACAGTGGAGATAAAAATTTGAAACTAATTATAAGCATATATTCCTATCTAAGCACTTATTTTTTATAGTCAGACAATTAAAAAATGTTATAAAAGAATAATGAAACTAATTTGGTCTATAAATTCATGCAATTACACATCCTATATTCTAATTTAAGATGGCAAAAAGTATTTTTAGACCATGGTAATTTTATATTGCCCTTTAAGAAAATCTAAAGTCTAAATTTGCATGCGTTTCTTTAGCAAGGAAACACCAAGAGTTTACCTCATGCTACTAAAAATGTGTTTTTTTTCTTTGGGGGGGAATGTTGAATATGAAAAAAATGTCAGACTGGTGATGTAATATTAAAACATCAGTTTTAACTATCAAAGTTTCCGTTTCTAAAAATTTTTAAATGTTGGCTTACAACATGAAAGTAACTTTAAGAAAAACATGCAATTTATCCTTCCTGCGATCAAAGCTCTGATACCTAGCAAATTCGTTAAAGTTTCGTGGACAGAAATGGCGGCATGTTTTACAGTTCAGCATTTGAGGTTACCATAAATAACAAGGTTATCATAATCTTTCATTTATCGCGCCAAAAACGACTAATACTAAAGCTGTGCCATAGAGTAGTAAAACATATGGTAATACAACGATCTAAAAATTTCTTTTGAGACTGTTAGTTTAGTTATCAATATATATTCTAATGTATACATCTAATTATATAAATTTTTAGTTTGATGGCTATAACAATACGACTCATTAAGCATTAAATTTCCTTACTTCCACAGTCTTCGCATTCTGTGCTTTACTCAGCAATAATTTATCAAAGTCATCTGGACCATTCTCAGGTTGAGAACTTGAAACAGCAACTGGTGACACTTGTTGCTTTTGTTCAACATGCTGGTCAACAGTAACAACGTATATATTATCTTTTAAATTTTCAGTGCTCTCTTTATTATATATTAGCTGATTATCTGAGCCCAGAGCGGCAGAATCTATGACAGTACCCAATGGATTTACTCCATCATAAACAGGTCCTGTTGGCCTTATTTCATCCTCAGAACTATCGATAACGAAACTTTTATTGCCGGGGTCTTGTAAGCAGTTCACCGGTGCTTTCGAGAATTCATCTTGAGCATCATTTGAAGAAGATCTAAAAATTTCAGCTGATTTCGAATTTGCACTTTCATCAACAGTAGTGACAGATGATTTAACATCTAAAGCCTGATGATTATTACGAATCAGATTATGATTAGAAACATCTAAATCGCAACAAGTGAGCTCTAAGCTCGATCCACCGCGAATGACATCTTGAGCATTTGGAAAAAGGCCAGCATTTTCATTGTTAGTACATGTATCTACATCACAGCAAGGTAAATCTAATTGCGCATTATTGTCTGCAATTATTTGTCCTTTGTCAGCAATGCCTATGCTCACATGGGGATGAACTACACAATCTTCAGACGGCATTTCCTTATTAACTGGCAAATGGGAAGGTAACAATTTTGCACTATCTTCGTCACTAATATCGCTTGTCTCAGCTTCAGAAATTTTAATTATATAGTCATTAACATCTAGCAAGTAGTTAAGTTTCACACAATCAAACACATACTTCGTTGATACTAATTTTTTATTCAAGTCAACATTTAATACTTTAGTACCTGGGCTTATTAAATGTATAGCATTTTCGTTGTGTGAGCACATACCCCCTCCATGTTCAATCATTGCCTTTAATAACAGCTTCTCGTTAACATTCCGAATATTAAATTCTAAAGGTGAACCATCTTCAGCAGAAAACAGCACAATACTATGGGCAAATTCGGACATTGTAACAATACAAACATAGAAATAACAGTTTTAGCTACCATGCTCACATTTGAAAAACAGGCAACATTGAAAATAACTGTGTTGCCACAATTATTCTAGAAAATATTGCATTTCATGTGAATCGTAAAAAGTTGCCACTCGAATTATGTATCGAAATTTTCAATACTTGAAGTGAAGACAATTGTTTTGAAATTTGACAATGTTAACTTATATGGTAAGTGTTCTATTTATGAAATGTAAATAATATTTTGCAACCGGGTAACCTTTTTTTTTTTTTTTTTTTTTCTCTCTCTGTTGCATTGATTTTTCGAAATAATTATATTTTCCGAGTGTGGTCTTTCATGACTATGGGCATAATTTTCTGAACATTGGGGATATCTTCGTGGAAAAATCCAACTGTTTTTAAAAGTTTTAGTCTTTAAAATAGTAAAAAATCTCGTGCAACTAGTGCGGATAATGATTCTAATCTAATAAACAAATAAAGGCATTCCTTGTAGAAAACAAATAAAGGCTTTTTCCAGCACTTTTCAATAATAATTAGCTATAGAAATTATCTGTAAAGTTAACTTGAGAGTGCTAAAATTTGTCACAATCCTACCTTGTGTACCTATAATATATGTGTATAAGTACCTATAATAAATTATATTTTTATATTATCTTAATTATTTATTATCACTGTTTATTTTAAATATAATTAACTTTTTTTTATAAATATTATCTATTTTCTTTATACATTGCTCGCATTTTGTTTTTGGATACTCGCATTGTTTTGAAATTTATTTGCATAGATCTTGTACTAAATATTAAAACATAGATTTAAAATTTTTTTTAATATATTATTTTTTCTTATTTTAAACCTTGCTTGTTGTATTATAATAATTAAAATATTCCTTGTAATAAAATAATTTGTTCAAAAAGTGTTAATCAGTAACTCACATAATAATTCGGATACTCCAAATTTTCGTTGACATGTTTTTGGTAGACTATGTTTGTAGTTAGAATTTTTTTGTTTTAAATCAAAATATATAGCACAAGAATAATCATCTGCATTTAAAAATTTTTCTTGTTCTTCGAAATATATTAACAGTATATGAAGTGAGCATGGCAATACACTACGAATTAAACCCCAATTCTATTGGGCATTTAATAATTCATCTTTCTAAATATGGTAAAATATTTGAAATATCCGAAACATCCTTGATATAAATTGTTTAATTATCTTTTGTGTAATAAAACAATCAAAATTGCAAGGAACTTTTAAAAACGCATATAAGTCTAGACCACATTTCAAGATGACACCAAGGAATCACAAATTTATTCTATGTAAAATCAAACAAGAATCAAAAATTATTACTGCAAAATGTTTAGCAGATTTGGTGGAATGGTTTGCAATAAATATTAATTTTGAAGCTTTTAGGAGAGTCATTTAGGGCATATATGGGCAATCAGTTGGACAGAAATTCTTCACCAACAAGAAAACTAGGAAAATGCACCTGGCATTTGCAAAATTTATAGTGAACAAGCTTTTATAGTTAGACTAGATTTAAGGGTGCCTCTTGAATTATCACTAAATTATTGTTTCATTTATCAACAAGTTGTTGTTTCATTTATGGTAACCTGAGTAATTGAATGCTATGGAAACCTATTATGACATGATTGGTTGCATGATTGAGGTAAATTTTGAATGTTGGGAAAAGATTTGTAAGGGCTTGGGGTATGTATTGGTTAGGAAGTATATTGCTTGTTTTGTGGTTTAGATGCTAGAATGGCTGAATGTGGTAAGATTAATTTGAAGTTTCTGTACGATTTGGAACGAAAGGGGAAAAGAGCATTAATTAGCTGGTGTGTAAAGGAATGTTTACTTAGTAGCCATTATAAGTGTCTTGTTTGTAGGAAGGAAATGCGTATGGTCGCATAATCGGAGGATACCGGCACTATGGAGGATAGTTTTTACTCTTATTTTTGTGAATTTATGTGGCGATGCTGATATACAGATTCTAGTTCAGATAATTTTAGGAAGTTTGTGGATGCTGTTAAATAATTTTTTTGACTGAAAACAGAAAATTTATAAATAAGGTGAGTGGATATTTCCTTTGTGTAGTGCTAAGATGAATTTCCTTTTTTATGTTATTTGATTTAAAATGTAGTTTATTGAAATTATATATTTTTTGTTGGCTGCTCGATGATTTTTTAAGTTAAAATAGATCGATGTATACATGGACAAAGTCAAGGGAGTGTGCAATGCCTAGTTTGTGCAATTCTGTGATGTTTTTTGTAAGTGAAAATAGGTCAACGTGTACATGGATACCGAGTTTGTGCAATTCTTTGATTTATTATTTTGGATTTGTGTAGCAACGATTTTTGGCACAAAAATTGCTGCTACACAAAGGCAAATAACAAGTTAAAGAATTGCACAAACTCGGTGTCCATGTACTACCAATTATTGCCAAGGGGCTCCCCTAAATATATTTTTGCCACTTTTATCATATTGGAACTATGTTATATATGCAAAAAAGTAAAAATATTGATATATTTGGGTCTGATAGACGAATGTGGCAAAATCCGAAACGATGTATTGCTTTGGAAACGGACTCTGCCCCATCACATAGTAGTTCAGAAATGGGTTACTATGTAGTTCTACCTTATTGAACTTTGGGATTAAGTCATGTAATCTTTCTTGATTGTCACCGTCTTGCTCCTTTTGCCATAAAGCTTCTGCAATTACTTCTGATTTATATTTTAGTAAATGAATTTGGTTATTTTACTGTTAATGCTTCTGATAGTGTCCTTTACCAAGAGAACTTTATCAGGGAATTTTTAGTTGTACTTTACCAGGGAATCTACTAGCTTGTTTCCCAGAATTGAGCAGTGGGCTTTGATCCATTCTAATCAGATAAGGGTGTCTGGATCAGAGTTTGTGGTATTGAGGATGTGTTTCTATGGTTATGATTTTTTAATGCTTCAATAGCTGATTAGCTGTCTGATTTAATAAGAATTTTGTTTGATATTCATCCTGGCTGAAGTAAGAATTGCTTGGCATATGGCTTGAAATTCAGCTTGAATACACTGTTTTCTGCTGCCTGTTAACCCTGGCATGCAACATCATTTTTATCGTTTTGTTTTAAGACTTATGCTGCTTTAACCCATCCTGTCGGCTTTCATATCTGATCTGTCTGTGAAAATTATTTGCTGGTTGTTATCTAAATTTCCATCATAAGGATGGTTAGACTTTGATGTTGGTATTGATTGCTTTATGTTGTTTGTAAATTATTTCTAGGATTTTGTAATTGTTTAGGCTTATTGTTATCTCTAGTAAAGAGAAGTCATAATTGTAGAACACTTGTTTTTGTAGCCTCTTTCGTTGCTCGTACGTGCAAAGAAGGGATTCCTGTTCTTTTGAGGTTGTGTAGAATGTCTTTATCTGAAGGAGAAAGGGTCTCTGTATTGTAAAGAGCATTCATGTTTTGAAGCTTAAATCACTGCTGTATGGTTGATGATGTACTGTTTTATTCTTCTGTTTTTCATTATTTGGGATTTTAAACCCCAACATTGTCTATGTATCAAACATAACTTTGTTGCTATTTGCATTGTTTTCTTTTTTAGTTGTTTTGAGTGGTTTATCATTTCAAATTTATTGTCTGCTAAGATTCTTAGAAATCTTATTTCCTTGGTGATTTTTAGTTTTTCTTCTGCTAAGCTGAATTTGGGAAATTGAGTTATTTTTTGTCCTGGCTTGTGTATGATGATAGCCTTGTATTTTTCTTGTGATAGAATGAGCTTTTGTTTCTGGCATCTTTAAAAAAAATATTCGGAGTTTCGTTCACATTTTATTGAAGGAATTCTCTTGAATGGCCACTTATTATTAGGCTATGTTGTCCGCTTTGCAAACAGCTTCATGTGGTTAGAAAATGTACTTTTGACTATTTTGTTTAGGGAATTGGCCACAGGTCTGCACTGAGGCAAGATCCATCCTAATGTTTGCATTTTTTCTACTTTTATATTGTTGTGTATCAAAATGCCCTTTTTATCTTTGAAATAGCCATTTAGTAACCAGTAGATAATTTACAAGTATCCTGCTTCAGCTATAGCTTTCATAACTGCTGGCCACCATAGGGAGTTGAACGCACATTTTAAATCCATACCGATGATGGCACATTATTTATTTTCTGCTTTATTTTTTGTTTTATTGTTACATTATTTGAGTGAATTGTACTGCACTTTGGTCAAAATCCATCTTGATTTGATCCTATGAAATTATTTTTATAAAGTTAATGCCTGATTCTTCCTGCTATTAATTATTCAAGCATCATTCCTATGATGGGCAGCAGATTTATTGGCCTGAGTGAGGATGATTGTCTTAGATCCTTATACTTCTTGGCAAACAAGATTATCTGTCGTGTTTTTAGGCATTATGGAAAAGTCATTTTCTTTAGGAATTTATTGAATAGAATTGGCAGGATTTTTCGTCAGTATTATAAATAATTTGTATTATTAATAAGTTGATTGGGTACTGGTGCTTTCTTTTTAATTAAATTATGCTGTTCAGTTCTTGGCATCAGTAAAACTGACATCATCTATTAGAGTTGGCTTTTTTAGATTTAATCTGGTCCTTCTGTGCTTTTCATCATTTTCATTCAAGTTATCCCTCGAAAAAATTGCATCCAGGATTTTATTTCATCCATACTTCTATACTATTTATCTGTATGTTCAGACATGCATGTGTTGTTTCTTTTGTTTGAGATCATGGTAAGAATAAAGACTAGCAGACTAGACTTTTACTAGCAGTTTTGTAAAGTGCCATAAGAGTCCCTGTAGTTTATGCATTTTTTGTGTTTATTTTATCTTCTATAGTTTTTTTTTTTTTTTTTTTTTTTTTTTTAAGTTTCGATTGTGTTACATATTTCTGCCAAGCATTGGCTCTCTCTTCTTATTTGTTTTTTTTTTTTTTTTTTTTTTTTTTTTCATTTTGTTCCTTAGTGCTCTCGTTTTGTTCTCATTTCTCTTAGCTACATGGTCCACCAGTTCGCTTTTCCATGATTTGTTAGTATTTTAATTTGATATGCTTCTTGGCTAATTTTTTGTAATTTCATGATAATACTCTTTTTGCTTCGTTTATCTCCTCTCTGTTGCATGCTTCTTCAAAGCTTTTGATTGTATTATTTTTGTCATTCAAAAGAAGTTTTCGAAACGTTTTTGTCCCTGTTTTGTTCATTCAGAATCTTTTTGCTTTTAGCATAGATGTGTTTTTGTATACATTGGCTCCCATAAGTCTGCATACATGCTATCATTCTTCTACGTTTTACTTCAGTCACTTATCAAATCATAATGGAGATATTTGAGACACCGCTTAGTTAATTGTACAGCTCTCCTGCTTCAATCTATGCAAAAACAAACTACAGTAACAAACAAGTACAGTAAACAAGCTTAAAAAGTTTACTGTACAGTAAACAAAACAAAGAAAAGCTAGCTTCACCAAGCCTTTTTCTTGTGCAGTTGTGATCTTTCGACCTTTATATACAAGCTTTAAAATACTGTGCATTGTTGTTTGAATAATGGTAGGAGGAAAAGAGATTAATGTGGCTGAGAAAAATATTATTATAGATCTTTGGAAAAGAGGGAAATCTCTGATAGAAATTGGTAAATTGGTAAATAGGACACATTTTCAATGAGTGAGCAAGAACTTTAAAGCAACAGGACTGTTGACATCTAGACCCAATTCTGGATTCCCAATCTACATTGACGCGATGCAAGTCTCGCTTTATGGTTCGAACAGTAAAAAAAAATAATAAAAAAGTAGCGCAGTTAGTCGCTGAAAGTTTCAAGAAAAATGCAAGTTTAACAACAATTTGAAGAGTACTGAAAATGAACGATTTCCGTGGGAGAGTGGCTCGGAAAAAGCCATTTATCTCCAGAGTAAACTGAGCAAAGAGAATGGCCTTTGCTAAAGAGCACATCAATAAACAAAGTGATTTCTGATAGAAAGTCATGGTCAGATGAGCGTAAATTTCGCATTTTGGGAATCAAATGAAGGAAGTACAATTTGGAGTAAACCAGGTCAAGAACTTGAGAAACAAAACCTTTATCCAACTGTAAAGCATGGAGGTCTGGGGTCTCCTTATGGTCTGGAGGTGCATGGGGTTGGTAATCTGGAGCTCATTGAATCAGCCATGAATAAATTTGACTACTTGAGGATTCTGAAAAGAAATTTTTGAGCCTTGTGGTTTTCTGCACTTTTTCATTTTCTCTTTCGGCAGGACAATGACCCCAAGCATACTGCATACATTGTTAAGAACTGGCTGCTTTACCATGCACCAAAGCAGCTACAAACACCATCCCAGTTCCCAAACCTTAACCCAAAAGAACCTTTGTGGGATTTGCTGGAAAGAAGAATCAGGGAACATGATATAACATCAAAAGAAATGCTCAAAGAAATTGTAGTGCAAGAATGGAATAAAATAACCACTGATAAAACAACTAAGTTTAATCTATGCCACAAAGGTTAAAAGAAGTAATAAAAAGAAGAGGATATCCTACATGATATTAATGTTTTAATTGAAGCACCTTTCAAAAGCGTTTTTGATCATGTACACAGCAGACTTGCAGAATTTGAGTCATGTAAAGTTATTATTTTAAAGATTATGTGTTGCATTTTAGTGATTTTTTTTTTTTTAACCTTTCAAATCTAGTCAGTTTGTTTGAAGAATCACAACTCTATTGATCAAAGCTCTATTGATGGATATTAAAAGCTCTATTGATTCTCATCAATGATGTTTTCTTTGTGGTCGTTACACAATGTATGCAGACTTTTGGCAGCAGGTATATATTAAACAGAATGTGGCGATGGTCTGAAGGTTCTTTTTTTCATCATTGACTATAGAGTCTTGTAATTGGTCAGCTATGTCCTGGCTTGCAATAACTAAATCTGGCCAGGCTTGGCCTGTGCTTGTCTCAAGGGTGGGACCTTGATCAGTTTTGTTTATTAGTGTTAAGTTAATGGCACTTATGAAGTCCTAGACCTGAGTTCCCATCTAATCATTGTTTGCATAGCCCCATCTTGTAGTGTGGGCATTTAAGACCCCTGCTGTGATATGTTGTGCTGCTGTTTTATGTACCATGTTTTCTATTTTATTCTATGTGTTGTTAATATCTTTTGTAGGGGATCTTTGTGTAGAGACAGGATATTTTGGGGGCAGAAGCAGAAGTAGATGAAGAATGAGCAATGCCCTCTCTGGGACTCGAACCTCGGACCTCTCGATACATGCTGAGTATGCTGATCACCACGAAGGCATTCTAACAAGAAGGCGGAAGAAATACCTTATACATGTAGTGAATATAAGTTTTCGTTTACAGTGTTTTTGATGATGATCACATTATCTCTAGAATTCTTTACATTGAGTTGGTTCCAATGGTTGTTTAAGACTGCCATGCATGCTCTTTGATTCTCTGTGTAGTGAAGTCTTTTGGTAGCTTCCAGGAAAGGTTGAGGCCTGTGACTTCTCCTTGAACTGCATATGGTTCTTGTATAAATCTTACATCTGTGTGTTGCTCCAGTGCATATTGGACTAAGGAGGAATATGCTGCTGCTATACTCCTAAACAATTTAATGTGAACACATTTTATTCTGTTGCTTGAATTTGTGATTCTTGTTAGCAGTGTTGAGTGATTCTGTGATTTGCTCATGAAGTGTCTTGAGCTATTTTCAATCTGAATGTTTATTTGTATCTTTGCTTTGCAATGATGCATATTTTTGGTACCTTTCTCTGAGATTTCTGTATTGTTAGTTAGATTTTTCTTGTGAATATTTAATTCTAGTTTCTACTTTTTGGATCTCTCACTGGTACATATTGGTATGGTACCTGCTGGTAGTAGAGAGCATAGACAGCATGTGGGATGTTTAATTCTGTTCTATTTGCATTATTATAAAGTTTGCAATTGATACATTGGGGGGGGAGGTTGCTTGCAGTATATTCGTTTAGTTGGAGGGGCATGCAATTAGGACATGGGTGGAAAACTGATTATAATATTGATAAAATAAAAAAAAAGATTCTATCTATATTCCTATAACTTGGGAAACATCCCTTGCATTATTTGTACACTGTGTGATAAAAGGGAAAAATTTTTGGAAAAGAAGTGGTACTTTCTAGTTGTCTGCACCCTGATCCAAATGTTATAAAAAGCTATTGATGAGTCAAAGCAGTATGTCTTCAAAATCTCTTGATGTTACCATCTATGTGGCATCCAGGTATGCTTATATTACATGTCTGTTTTGGCCAGTGCACAGTGTCGAAGTTATATGATGCTAAGTTTGTGCAATTGTGTGATTTTTTAAAGTGAAAACTGTTGCTGTATACATGGGGAAAACAACAGTGGATAAAAGAAACCTAAATATACATGTAGCACATGTCTGTTTTGGCTGCCAAAGTTGTATGGTGATAAGTTTGTTCAGTTTTCTTATTTTTTTAAAAAGCAAAAACAGATTGCTTTGTAAAGAGAGAGAATAATAGTGCAAAAAAAGAAAGATTCCTTGAGAAAACAATGTTTTATTACCAATGTGCCTTGCTTTTTAAATTTTATTGATTAACTACTTTTGCATAGAATTTTTAGCTTGCCACCATTTTAAAACTCTGGCTGTTCCCTTTCATGGTTGGTGGAAAATGAGTCATGACTGAGTTTATAAAATGCTTGCAAACGAATCTTTTGCTACATTTTACAACTTGTAAAAGTCTTTTGGTAACAGGTTCAGGACTTTTCGGTGAGGGTGGGGAGAATTGGGAAATACCAAAGAAATTTTATGTGTTTGGTTTTACAGTCAAAAGTCGTTAATCCGGACTCGTCAGGACTTCGGTGATTCCGAATTATCGATTTTTCCGGATTATAGATCATCAGTTTAAATGCGTAAGATGGCATGCAGAAATTCTAAAATTAAAAATATGAAACCGTAATTTATGAAATAAAGAACAATTATGATCTAAAGGGTATCAAAATTTACAAAAAAAAAAGCTTAATATTTATTTGTTTACTTTATTAAACATTTCTTTCAATGTAAGTTGTTTAAGTTGCTTCGTTTTATGTGATAATAAATTCTCTTTAATTCTATAAACAGACATAATTTTTTGTTCACTTACAAAGTTCCGCTGTTCAAGTCCCGTTAATTGCTGTGCCGAGAATACCGACTAACTTGTCAATCGAAATTTTTTCGTTTTCACTAACCTCTCTGTCACATTCTTCATGTCTTTATCCATTTTTTGCAGCAATTCCACTTTTTGTTTGATGGACATCGAAACATACTTTCGTTTTGTACGATCCTTTGGGAGCTCCAGAATCAAAAATTCTATTTGACATAATCGAAAGTTCAAGTTTACTTTTATAGTATTGCTCTTACAGGCTGCAAAAAATAATAAGCCGGATACAATTCGAAAATTAAGGAACAACGCAATCATCAACATTAACTGAAATAGATAATTAGATAATTTTAGCTTACACCGTCCGTTATACATAAAACGCGCACGCGAAAACGTATTCTCCGCTTGCGCACACGCAAATGCGCAGTCGTAAGAAGCCTTACGCGCATGTGTCAACGCGGCGCATGCGCAGAACGTTTTTAGCTTTGAGGTCCGGATTATAGATCATTCCGAATTATGGGTGTCCGAATTAACGACTTTTGACTGTATTAGATTATGGTAAAGCACTTGAGGGCTATCTGCCTTAAGGGAGGGATGCCTTCGTGGAGGACTTTCTAAGGGAAACTGGCTCATATACACATTACACATGGGAAAACCCACAAAAACGCCCATGCAGCCAGCCCTTTCGCAGGATTCGAACTTCGGACCGAACTACCAGTGTTCAGCGACTTTACCGCTTGGCCGCTGGTGGGTGAAATTTTATGGGAGATCTGGATAATAGATCATTCCAGTTATTGAATGTTTGGATTTTGAGCTTTGTACTGTACCTGTTTGTATTGTAAAGAAGGTTTGGAAGCATATATTCCAAATGCATGAGGCATATTTGCACTATGTCTGTAATTTAGGTAAATAAATAATAAAAATAAGTACAAACATTAAACCAGGGGTTCTTAACCGGTGACCGCAGGCACCAATGTTTTTGCGACTGTCCACTACATAGTATATGCAATGCCAAAAATCACATTAAATGCAACTATTTTAAATTTTTTGTCACCTTTTTAATGTAGGGTATTATTTATGATGCTTATGACAGCAATAAAATAAAGAAATATTAAGAATCGTTATACTTTTTTTTTTACTGCACACACCAGCATTTCCTGTTTGTCCCGGGAATAAGGTTAAGAACCCCTGCATTAAACTAACTATATATGTGGTCTCAGCAGTTTGCTGTGTTGTATTATCAAATTGCAATGTATCACAATTTCATATCTTCTAGATCAGTAAGGGTGGTAATGTTTCTCTTCTTCATGTTGAAAAGTTTTGAGCATTTATTGATTGACCCTTGAATTTCTAACCTCTTATCTTTTTTTGGTTCTTTTTTCTGCGTCTTTTTTCTCCCATTATAAATATTATTAGTGTTCTATAAATAATCTCCACTTATAATAAAAGAGTCTGTCTGTGTGTGTGTGTCTTTCGTTCGTGCTGCGTGTAAGCTAATAAACCCAGGGATATGAAATTTGGTACGTAGGTGCATCTAGACAAGAGCCAGTGCACCTCGAAACGATTTTCAAAATTCGAATCAGATTTTTTAAAATTTTATCTTTTTTGGTGAAATCACATCATTTTGAATAGTTTCATTAAGAAATGGGGTTTTGGCAACAGTTTTTCATTCAATGCTTTGTATATTGGACTGCTGACTGTTGAAAATAGGAGGTGAAATATTATCAATTATGCATGCAACATGCACATCGCAATCTTCTTATTCTGACGCACATGTGTCACTAGGCACAACAAAAAGAATCTTTTCCCCCCCTCTCTCTCTTTATTAGCTAATAGCAAAGAAGTGTGTATATTTTGAATTATGGCATCCACAAAGCACAATTTTGATTGGTTATTGCTTTCTGATGATAGTTTAATTCTTTTAGAAATGTGGTATTTGCAACAGTTTTTTGTTTATTGTTTTGGGTACTGGACTGCTGATGGTTTTCTCTTGAAAATATGAGATTTATAGCTTATTTCATTGTAATTTTTTATAGTATTATGTTTTAATTATATAATTTTTTTTTTTTTTTTTTTTTTTTTTTTTCAGGAAACAAAATTTTAACTTCCTTTATACCATTTGAATTCTTAAGAGTTTGCAACGGGAAGTTGGTTAATTTATTTATTAGGATAATTAACATTTGTGTTAAAGGATATTGCTTATTTTATTGTAATTTATATATATATAATACATTTTTATTGAAATTTCTGATTTTTGTTTTGTTTTTGTGATAAAGTTGTTATGCAGAGTAAAAGTGTGTGCAGTTTTTAAATTTAGTTTTTGGTGTTCCCTTTAGACATTTCTCTGGCACCATTTAAAAGCCAGACGAAGGCTGGCTACGTAGCGGCTTGTAAAATATAAAACAATGCAAAGTTGAGACATATATTCCCATAAATAAAGCAAGAATATAGTGTGAGATATGTATGTCTTTCAATGACAATAGAACACAAAGTTTTTCAATTATAATTGTTATATTAGCTTCATAAAATGGCATGTATATTAAGAAATTTTTCTTTAGCATGTAGAAATGCGATAAACTAAGAATTATTAATAAAATTACTGTAGCAATTTCAGCTCTTATTGTGAGGGAATTTTTCTGAAGTTATTTTATTTTACAGGTATATATGTAACAGCCAGGCACAACTGTGATTATAAAGATCGGAATGGAAAATAAAGTATCAAAAGAAAGTTGTGTGTCTCCTCCATTACCCCCACCCCCACCTCCACCTCAAGTGCCTTACAGGAAAACTGATTCAACCAACCTTAACGATACAGACAGTAAAAGTAATTGTAAAATGTCAAATGAGTGCATCATATCAGCAGTTAGGCATTTGTTTAGTGATGAGAAGCTAACTGCTCTCATATCATTTTGCAAACCTACAATCCCCATTATTCAAGAAGGACGATGTTGTGGCATTGTTGCATTATCAATGGCTAGTCAGTTTATCCAGAGTGCACCTGTTCAAGTTATTCTTGAAAAAGCTAAAGCTCTAAATTTTACTAAAGAGGGTGAATTATTTTCTGCTTATAACATGGCAACACTTGCTTCTGATTTGCTTCACTGTGATGCGTCTGTTGTTGATGATGTTCTTGTTCACAAAAAAGACATCTTACATCATATATGTGAGGGATGGCCTGTGCTAATTCCCTATGATTCAGATAAAAATCATTTTCCATGTTCCAATAAAGGACATTCTGCCCACTGGGCGGTTATTACCGGATTATGCTTCTCAGTGTCTGAAAAACTTGATTTGCATTCTCTTCCGTATGTACAAAAATTCAATGATTTTCCAGAATTGAGTTTGATTATAAGTAAAAATGGCTCATATGTCAAAACATTGCTGGATTATGCAGAAAGAATATTTGTGTATGCTCGACAAGGAAAAAGTAAACATTTAGCTGCATGGGATTTGAATGAACTTCTTGCAAGCAATAATAATTTGTTTGAAGTCACAAAAAAGTACAGTTCAGACCAGTTGGTCCTTCCTAAAAGTGGTTTATCAGAGCTTAGAGATAAAGCAGTGCTACTAAAAATGAGAGAGTCTTAATTTTGTTTGAGAAGTACTATTTTGAAAAGTTCATAATAAATTATTTTCTTATTGAATTTTTTTGCTGATTAAATGAACTTCAATAAATCTTAATATTCTGGATTATCTATAAAGTTGGTTATAAATTCCTGTTATTTTATCAATCTTTCCATATTTAATCTTCAGTTAGGGGTGAAAGTTTGGTAATGTATTTATATAATGATAAAGGTGATAATCTGTGAAATATTGTAGATTGCTTCTGGGAAATTAGGAATTTTTACACCCTTTATTCTGGCTTGAATATGAAAAGATGAAACATCACTAATAATAGCCAGATGTTGCCAACATTTACAAAAGCTAACTCTGTACCTTTAGTTAAAGATTTATCCTCTCTCTCTGTCTTAAGACAGTGCTTATATGCTGGGGCGAGTTATAAAAGTAGTTTTACTTTTGCTAAATACAAAAATTCTTCTAAACTAAATAGGAAATTCTTTTTGTTATTGTTTTTAATTATTTTTTTTCCCTGGTGTGGAGGAGACAGGTAATATGATTTTAAAAACCATATATTTGCATATACACATGCCTCCAAAAAATTTTTGACATTTTGTCACTATATGCTTAATACTTAAGAGCCATTCTGTTCACGTAAGCAATCATTTAGAAAAAGTAGGAAAATTCTGGAGTTTCTTAAAATGAGAAATATCTTTATAATTTTTCTAGTCTTTAAGAGTATTATTTTTATTTATTTATTTTTGTAAATGTTGGGAACAAAAGATTCTCAAGTATTTGTCAGGAATGGCTGAACCCTTAGGTCACAAATGGGAAGGGGAGAAAGACATACATTAAACATCCAAGCTTTATACAGAATCTGACCCCCATTCTAGAGCTCATAGTAGCAGTCAGTCTCTGCTCACTGTACTCTCCAGGGCAATACTATTTTTATAAATATTTATATTTCAGTTATATTTTAATTAAAGAATATAAATATTAGATTGAATTCTTTAAATAATTCATCAGAGTTTTTTTATTATAAAGTTTAATGTTCTAAATCCAGAATTTGTTCTTTTAGTGATTCTGATTATTGGATTTTTGTGCATCTAATAATTAATAATTTTGGTGTATTTTGACAAATAGAAATTTTTTTCAAAAATTTTCTGCAAAGTAAAGTTGCATTTTATTTAGTAAAAAGTAGCATAATAAATATAACTTTTAGCTGAAAAAAATAAATGCTGAAAATTCAACGATATCAAACTCAGTGTAATAAATAATGTTTTAACCTCTTAACTGCCGCGGGCGTATATATACGCCTTGCTCAGCCGATGCGTTAACTGCCCCAGATGCGCCCAGATGTGCAGCCGATGCGTTAACTTTGCGAATAATTTTAGGTGTAGCAGCGCAAAGCAAATGATAGCAGTTTGGAAGGACGTATATATACGCCTGTGGCAGTTAACGCATCGGCTGAGCAAGGCGTATATATACGCCCGCAGCAGTTAAGGGGTTAATAAAACATTTTCATTAATTTGTGCTATTTCATCAGAACTCGTATCTGAAATAGTCATTCAGCTACAGTGTAATTTTTATGTCCCAGCATGAAAACTGTATTTGCTGCTTATGCTCAATTATGCATTAATCTTTCTTTTGGTTATATGCTTCCAAACCAAGAAATTAAAATAATGGTAACAAATCAGTATCTTTAAACTGTTGATATTCAAGTCAGACAAAATTTTATATGTTCAGATTGCTTAGAAATGTAATGTAATTGCTCAATTACAATTTTTATAACAACACATTATATTAAAACCAAAAATTGAATTTTTCTTCTAATTGGAATACTTGGAGCACATGATTCAAAATATTAGAATATTTCAAAATTTTCCTGTTGGTTTAGTGAAGATCATAAAGTTGGTATATATATATTAGTAGCTGTTTCAATAGATAATAAATGTGTGAATAATAATTTTTTAAAACATACGCTGAATGTTTTTGTCAAGAAAACCAAAATAATCTCAAGCAAGAGTAAGTGAAATTAATGAGACGTATCATAATTATAGTAGGTTTCAAAATCGTGTTCAAATATAGATTCTTTTTAAAAACGTTAAAATAAATATTTTGTTTTGGAAACAGAAAAAATGGATAAAAATTAATTCTTTTCATGGTGAACGTATAATTTTACTTTGAAGTTATTGAATATTTGAATATTTTTAATGCCAAAATTATGATTTTCTGTGAGATTGTTTCATGTGGAGTGTTGTGTTTTAGAATATGTGAAAAGCATATAGTATATAGCTTTCCCTGTCCCCCCTCGTAAATGGTATAGTTGTTGTATTTTATCGGTGTATGTAGGTATTGACAAATAGAAATACAATAAAATGTGATTTCTAAGACAGTCATTCATTGATCAAATGATTTTATTATTGGTGGTGATCACCTTACAAGCTATGGCTGATAGTGATATTGAGTGTCATTATTTTTTATTATATTCTCAGATATATATCAGTTATTTTTAGAGATGGTCTTGAAGATTGCTGTAAGGAGTTTCCCTGTAATTTAAAGAAACTTGAGAAAGATATTTATGCATAAATAGTAGATTAACTTTTATTTTTTAATTTCTGGTTGCATATATGTAATTTATAAATATAAAGAATTTTATACAGTGTGTTTTAAAATTTTTATGAGGGAAAGGAGTATTTATTTTAAAAAAATAACTCTGAATATCTAATTGCTCTAAATTTATAACTTGAAGAATCTGTGATATTGTGTCTTCCAACATATATAAAATTTATGTAAATATAATTTTGTTTAAAATTTTATATTTACAATGTAAAATAAAGTCGTCTTACTTCACATTAAGCATTTCAAATGTTTGTACTTAGAGTGAGAAAATCTCTGTACTATGTACTCTTTATACTGTGTACTCTCTGTACTATGTACTTTCTGTAACAAAGAACCATTACATTATGACTACCCCTAACGTGGTGTAATGAATGTGCCTATAGAAAAAAAAAAAAAAAAACTATCACATGTTATGAAATCGCAAAACAATACATGTGAAATAAGAGAACTGTATCAGTAGGATAGTACAGCTTGTCAGAATTTGATAAAAGATAAATTTTGACTGCAATGTGATGCTTCACATCTAATAACAAAAGAGATGGGAGATGCTTAGATACTGTGAATGTGTATGTCAAGTGGTGTAATGATGGGCATGCAATTAACTTTTGTTTAATTGCATGCTGACCACAGTTCTTTGATGCTAGAGATATCTCAGATTGTTGTGCATTTTTCATAGCAGTTGCAGGGCCTCTGATTTGACAGAGTAACATTAATTACAACGGTGGTGAATGAAGCAATGTACAGTAAAAAATTGATTGAACTCTTCTATGTATGAGGCTTTATAGCAGTATACCTAGTAAAAACTTGAGTATCTATCTATCTCTTCAAGTATTGGCATGATTATCACACATGTTGTAGCGCGATATGTCCGGCTCAGTAATATAATGCTGCTGAAGTACGTAAGTAATTCTGCAAATAAGTTCTCAAAGGTAAATAAGAAATTGCCGTAAATCCGCAAACCTTGACTACAGTAAAGCAAGTCGAAACAGGAAAATAACAGAAAATGAGCTGGAATATGTGTGTAAGAGCTAAAATGTTGAGAAGAAATACAAAACCATCGCCAGATGAACTTATGCAAAACACTGTCAATGATGATACATAAATGCTAGGAAGTACAATAATACAAGAGGGAAAATGTATGCACACAGAAATTTCAGGCATAAATACAAGGAAAACATTGAAATATACACAATATGTACAATAAGGTTATGTCGAAAATTGCTGTTTAAAAGATGGCACACTAAAAGGACAAAAATAAAAAAGGACAAAAATATTTATTTTTGTCAAGTATCATATTGTTAAAAAGATAAAAGGCATTTAAATGTCCATATTTTAATGCTTTTTTTGTAGAAGTTTATATTAATTTTAATCAAGGAATCTTCCAGTGTCAGTCTGCAAGTCTTTGTACATTAGATGACTTTACACAAGATAGTGTGATTTGTAATTATATTTAAGTATCTGTTTTGAATTTTTCAAGTGTCTTTATGTCACTTTTTGTCTTAATACACCAAGTAGGTGATGCCCAAGTTAGAACTGGATGAATTATGGCAGTGTAGATTAAACATTTCTTTTGGAGATCAAACTGTGAGTATTTTCCAATAGTCTGAAAAGGTTGTTAATTACTTTTCTTGCTTTATTTTTTGTGGTATTTATATAGTCCTTCCATTTCAAGGTATTGTTGATTGTTATTCCTAAATATTTTGTTGTCTGTACTTGTGGCATATGTTCATTAAATAATTTTAAGCACACACTAAGTCAAGTGTTAATACATTCCCTTCCAATGACAAGAAAATGATACATTAGTACATTTATTAATATGCTCCATTTTTTGCACAAAGATTCACTTTAAAATTTGATCTTGAAACTTTTTAATAATATTTGTAGCATTTGTTGACTTGACGACTAAAGCTGTGTTGTCAGCATAACATCTTAAGTAATAATAATGACTCCTGCCAGTTTGTGGAAAGTCCACCATACAGAATAAATATATTATAGGTCCAGGAATCGAACCTTTTCTCACACCTGCCCTAATTTGTCATATATCCAATTGAATGCTAATTCAGAAGTCAAACAACAAAAATCAGCGTTATATTTACAAAATTTTCACAGGACTAGTTTCGATGGTTTTATCGAACCACCATCTTCAGCTGCAAAACCGCAAATGAACAAGATAGAAAACAATGATTAGATAAGATAAGAAAGCCTGGACAAGAATAAGCAGGCAACTTGCTTATTCTTGTCCAGGCCAGTTCCATTGTTTAAGCAGTTTTTTGGTAGATTGTATAATTCCTTTAACTATACATTTTCATAGAAGGATAGAATAAGTGAAACTGTGACTAATTTATAGCCATTGTTCCTGTCTTCTCCGATTAGACAAGATTATAAGGAGTTTCTTACATAGAAGCCAACACAATTCCTTTGTACAGTTAGACAATCACATCTGTGGCATCTATTTGATTGTTTGGTCGTTTTAAGTCTTTTGGTTTGGTTTCCTCGGTATTTACACTCGAAGCTTGTGCAAGTGGAGTTTCCTTCATTCCATTGAATGAAATTTTTATTGGAACATTAAACAGTTCAACAGGGCCTCTAGATCTAAATTTTGTAGTAAATGTTGCAGGAACTGAGTTACATTCATCTTGATCAGCATTTATTGGATTGCAGGCAGTCGAGTCATTTTTTAAGATGGCTTTATTCCGTGTGAGCAATTTTTAATAACGGCATATAAGGAACTGTGACAGATTCTCTTTTGATTCTTCAGTTTGATGAGTTCAGATTCACAAAATTTAAAAAAACCTATCCATAATCAAGAATCAAAATGTAATCATATCCAGCCAAAATAATAAGAGAAAATAATCTGCACCCCATTTACCATACACAAAGATATTCCCTCTGTGAATATACAGATATGAAACCACAAGGGGCCTTGAGTAGCATCTGAGGTGCGAGATTAAGGATAACTTTGTGGATTAACAATCCAATAAAATCTAGAGAATAAGAGGTATCACCAGCAGCAGTGATAATAGCAGTGTGACACCAATATTGTCATTCAGTCACAGTTAGTGGCACTGGGACAGTCATTCAAGAGATTCAGGATGCTAGCAGCAGTGGCGGTGCAGGCAACCAATCAGAAGACAGCAGTGAGCATCCAGATGCGTAGTTCATCCTTTGGTGTAATCATGGAGGGAGCAGCAGCTGATACAACCTTATCGCTCAATCCCCCCCCTCCTTTCTCTCAATCGCTTTTTTGTCTGAGATTTGAGTGCTGACTTTAATCTCTCAAAATACCTGAAAGAGGCACAAGGTCATCGATGTTGGATTGTGACTGGTGTGACAAAAAGCCATTTGGTGTGACTCAAGTCAGATTTCTAGTGCATTATGTAAATGGTCGTGTGCATGTGTACTGTTTGCCATCAGAGGCTATTGTATTTCTTATTTGGATACAGGCTGATGGAGGAAATGTCATGGTAAGATATTCGAGAAATTTTAGACATATTATCACTACAGAACATTCAATGGCTGATATGAGATATCTGAACATCGCTGCTATTTTGTCAGTCATGCTAATAGTACTTTATGTTGTTTATAGTGGTGTAGCATCAATGGCTATATTGTCAGTGGGGCAGTATGTCATGCGACACTGCCAGGATCGTCAGAGATAATTTGGGGAATATGATAGTGAATTTTATTTGATATTTGTTGATCCAACCATTACCCTGTCAAAGATTTGTTTTTTGAACTAAAGTATGCTTATGTTACTTCTGTACTGCCCCGAAATGTGAAGAACTAGAAAACCTGCTATTAAGATTATGATACCAGATATCTTAAATCCTACCACTACATCTTTGAACTGATGCCTCAGAGAGTTACTGACATTTTGCAGGCTAAAAAAGGTCTTGCACCTTGTTAAGCATGTGGTCATAAAATAATGGTGTTTTTGTATGATATGCCAAACTAGTCATTAGATCATTAAGTCATTTTATCACTCCATAACTATGTTTTGCTTGCCAATTTAGTATTTTCAACATGTGTTTGAAAGGTTATAATTTATGTTATACTGTCTTAAAATAAGCAGAAAACCCTATCTAAAGCTTAAGTGAAATATTGATGGTTTTAAAAATTATTTAAATTCATGGTGATTTGATTTATCTTATGAGCTTCATTGCTGATGCTAGAAGAATGTGATGAATTGTAAAGTAACTATTTCCGAATTCCGTTTGAGAATATTATAATTACTTGTTGTGTATTACTAAAAGTACTTTCATTTCTGAAGACTGGAGATTATAGTAATAATAATAATAAAAGAAATGTTTTGAATCTTAAAACTTGCAGGATTGTGAATAATAATAATAAAATGATCCGAAATTTAAAAAATGTGGACAATTGATGTTTGGTGAATTTAAGTACACTTTAGAAAAGAGCTGCTGTATTAATTTGATTGTGTTGTTTATTCATTCATTCTTTTTACAGCATAAATTTATATTTTGCTGTGTAAGATAATTTTATTTAAACATTATATATAACTTTTAAATACTTGGGATGATTTTATTTAAACAAAAGTCCTTATGCGACTTAAATTTTTGCTTCTGTTGCTTGTAGACATATACCTAAAATATTTTAAATGATGCAGATATTCAGATTTTGGCATTTTTTTAAATTAACGAAATGAAATTTGTAAAAATTACGGAATCTATCCTTTTATACATCGTCAAGTCCTTAGACTTATGAAGAACATTTTGTACTCGTTATAAAAATAAAACGCCAAAAAATTGACTCCCATACAACAAAAATTCATCGAAATATTCAGTTGTAAAGTTTGTGGTTTTTGATGTCCTATTCAATATGCACCGAGAAATTGGTTAATAAGTAAATTAGAATAATTTAAGGTTGATTTTTCTGCATATAAATGCCATTCAACGGTTTTTTTTTTTTTTTTTTTTTTTTTTTTTTTTTTTTTTTTTTTTTGTGTGTGTGTGTGTGATTTAAATGTATAATACAGTACAAAGTCCGTAATCCGGACGTCCAGAATGATCTATAATCCGAACCTCAAAGCCACAAACCTTTTTTTGTATGCTTTACGCATGCGCGTTTAATGTATAACGGACGTTATAAGCTAGGCTAAAATTATCTTTACTGATTCTAAGTCATTTCAGTTAATGTTGCAGATTGCGCTGTTCCTTAATCTTCTAATTGGATCTGGCTTATTATTTTTTGCAGACTGTTAGAGAAATTTTATAAAAATTAAGCTTGAACTTTCGATTATTTCAAAAAGAGTTTCGAATTCTGGAGCTGCCAAAGGATTTACAAAGCGAAAGCATATTTCGATGTCCATCAAACAAAAAGTGGAATTGCTGTAAAAAATGGTTAAAGACATATCCGTCTCAAAATTATGCGAGGAGTATGACATTGGAAAGTTAACCGTATATGACATAATCAAAAAGAAAAAGGAACTTTTTGAATTTTTTGTGGATTCCGACACTCCACTTGCAATGAATAACAGGAAAAGGGTTCGTTATGCTAAAAGTGACGATCATGACAAAGTGATGATTGAATGGGTCAGACACCGTCACAGCGAGGGCGTGCCATTGAGGGGTCCAATGCTAATGGCTCAAGCCAAAATATTTCATGAAGAAATGAACTTAAACACTGAGTGCACGAATTCGACAGGTTGGTTAACCAAATTAAAAAATCGCCATGGTATAAGATAATTAAAAATTTCAGGTGAAAAAGCTTCAGCTGATACTGAAGCTGCTGAACAATTTGCAGATGAATTCATTACTAGTGAACAATTATCTCCAGAACAAATTTACAACGCTGATGAAACTGGTCTTTTCTGGCAATATGTACCGCGAAATACCTTGGCAAAATCTACAGAAAAGGCTCCAACTGGTGTCAAAGATTCTAAAGCGAGACTAACAATTTTAGCGTGCGGAAATGCTGCAGGAACGCACAAGTGCAGACTTTTCGTAATCGGAAAACATTTAAAGGAGTAACGATTTTCCCCGTTATATATTGCGCAAATAAAAGAGCATGAATGACATAAGCGTTGATGAATGATTGGTTTGAAAATCATTTTATACCTGAGGCTCAGCGACATCTGAATTCGGTTGGTTTCCCTAATGACTTAAAAATAGTCCTGATTGTTGACAACTGTTCGGAGCATACTTTAGTGAAAGATAATGTATCCGTATTCTTCCCTCTAAATTGTACGTCTATCATTCAGCCTATGGATATAGGAATAGTGCACGCGCTGAAATGCAAATATAAAGTAGCATTTTTAAAATCTATGTTAAATTTCTTGAACAATGGCAAGACTATTCAAGACTTTTTGAAATTTTTTAGCATAAAATCTGCTGTGTAGAGCATCGCAAGATCGTGGGAGGATGTGTCTCCAGAAACGTTAAAAAATACTTGGCATAATGTTTCAAACTAAAGTTTGAAATTTTCTTATTTTGTAAAGAAATGTGGAGAAGCGGTAATAAATGAAGATGATATAACAGAAGTTTTTCGTTGCGACGACAATGCCCCAATCATTAATCAATTAACGGACTGCGAAATCGGTAGTATGATTCTAGATCCAGAAAATACCGCTTCCGATAGTGAAGAAAGTGACAGAGAGGTTATTGAAAACGAAAAAAATTCGATTGACAAGTTAGTCGGTATTCTCGACATAGCAATTACAGTTCTTGAACAGTGGAACTTTGTAACTGAACAAGAAATTATGTCTGTTTATAGAATTAAGGAGAAAGTATTAGCACAAAAAAAGGAAGCAACTTAAACAACTTACATTGAAAGAAATGTTTAGTAAACAAATAAATATTAAGCTTTTTTTTTTTTTTTTTTTTTTTTTCTTTGTAAATTTCGATACCCTTTAGATTACAATTGCTCTTTATTTCATAAGTTACGGTTACATATTTTTAATTGTATAATTTCTGCATGCCATCTTACCAGATTTAAATTGATAATCTATAATCCGGGAAAACCCCTAATCCGGAATCGCCGAAGGCCCGACGAGTTCGGATTACGGACTCTACTGTATATAAATTTTGTTATATTTGGTATGCCGAAAGAATTTTTACACAAATAATTCATGAGTTTTCTTATGAGCTAAAGTCTAAAAACACGTTATTAATAATCTCATAAAGTTTTTAACTTTAGAATCCTAATTTGGTAAGCGTCTAAAAAAAATAGTTAAACTAGAAATGTTTCTCATTTGTAATTCATGCAGATAATGTTAAGAGTTGTCTTCTCACCAGCGTTTTCTAAATCACGAATTCTGCCAGATTCTATAAATATGACCTCCACTTTGAAAAAATGCTTTACAATGAATACTTAATCTGCATAGAAGTTATCATCACTTAATCTCTTAAACATCAGAAAATTTTCCTAAACTGATGTTTTATTTTTAGTTGCGTATACGTGCAAACATTTCACTGTTAAATTTGTGTAGGCCCTCTTAATATAATCTCCTACTTTAATAATAAATATTGTTGCGTGTGTACGAGTTCGTAATGGATGAATGCACATAGCATATGATAAATTTATAAAATTTATTTTTCCGAAAGAAATACAGTTATGGAACTTTCCACAAAAGTGTTCGCACAGCTTTTCTCAGTAGGACAAACCACGATCAGTAGTTACCACTTCGAACTACTAAGAACGTTAACACAACGCATTGCAAAGAGTTACGCTCGCACAGAGATCTCTCAATGCTCCGAAGTTAATTCTGAAGTAAAAAATCGAGAACTGATGCTCTCTCGGTGTTATATAGTGTATCTCCGCCGAGATTTTCCAGTCCAATTTTCTCGAAATTACTGGAAGGCATAAACAGTTACAGTTTCATCCGGTGGAGCATATCTCTCTTGAGGCATTTCATGCTACATTATACAAGAGATACTATGACATATGATTTCACTAAAATTCTTTACATGTATGGCAAATTCGTAACATTGCGACCTTCGCAAGGACTCCACTTCGTCAGTACAGTCCATGGACAGAAAGACATACTTCAACTAATGAAAATCAATGCATTACTAAAATAATAACTTCAATAAATAATATATGTTAGTGTGTAACGAAAGTTTTCCACCAAAAACATTCTTAATAAAGTTAGGGGAAAAAACATGAAAGCAATACCTTTAGTGCAGGTAGTAATCATCTCTCAAATCTATGATTTTCTGCCAACGTTTTGTTAGTTTTTCAAAGCCTTCGGCTCAGTAACTTGGTGGCCGCGAGTCCAAAAACAGATCAATCTCATTTCGGACGTGCTGTGCAGAATGGAAGATAGCACCAGCAAGATCTATCTGCAGGTATGAAAAACGGTAGAAGTCCGAAGGAGCAATGTCGGGGCTATATTGTGGGTGTGGCAAAAGATCCCCTTTAAGTCCGCACAGAGTCCAGCCGATGAATGCAAACACGTGTGGTCTTGCGTTATCGTGATGGAACATTACCTTTTTTGCCGGAACTC